TAGATTGAAACGGATCCATCTACCGAAAACATGAAAATGACAGATGTCTCATCTGATAGGCAAACAGTGAAACCATTTCATAATAAGGTTGAAACGGATCCATCTTCTGAGAAAATGAAAATGACAGATGACTCCTCTAAAAAGACGTTTATTTGTGTATCGTAAAAAATATGGTGAAAATCATTTCATTCACTAAATGTAATAGTTAAAAATATTGTTTCCTTATTCAAAATGAGGTTGATTAAGGAAACTAATGATTATATCCGATTTATTGATATAGACGGTTTTGCAATTTTGCCCTTTTTCCAATTAAAAAACAATTTTTTTTCTATTTTTTATTTTTAACTTCCTAATATAAACTAAACTAATTTTGACCATTGATCAAAAAAATGAATGGATGAGATTGGTTTATATGGTTTACACAAATGAAGACGGTTTTCATTTTATCGCTCCTCTATATATATATATATGTATGTATGTATGTATATATATATATATATATATATATGTATGTATGTATGTAGAGGAGCGATCAAATGAAAACCACTTCAATTTGTAAAAACCGTAAAAACTACTAACATTCGTCGATTTCATTGTTTAATCTTATGAAATTTTTTCACGAAATTGTTTAATCTTGTGAAATTGTTTCATATAATTTTTTTTTATGAAGTTGTTTCATATATGGTTATGAAATTGTTTCATATACTACTTAATGAAACTATTTCATGTATTTCTCTAAAATTAATGAAACTGTTTCATGTATTTCTCTAAAATTAAAATAATGAAGATGATAATATCCATGATTAACACCATCCACAATAAAAATGATTAATCAACCTCTCATAATTACAAAAAAATGAACAAAATGAAAAATTATGATTAGTTGAATGAAGTTTGTACGGTTTGTACAAATTAGGTGGTTTTTATTTGAACGCTCCCCTATGTAGATGTATATATAAAGTGATCCATTTAGGATATACAAACCAACCGAGACATGTGACAATGTTGAATAGAGAAAAGAGCAATTGGCACCAAAAAAAGACACTGATTCGCTTTTATATTCAACAAATTTTGTATCTTGATGTCTGAGTAACAATGGGTTCACTGATATACATTTCTGGTATAAGATATATAACTGGTTGATCATAGTAATATATATATATATCAGCACCTTACCTTTAATCGGTTTGACTGCCGAAAAGGGTCATGGACCCTTGTAAATCACATACGCGATGCTCACAGTCCAGCTTCCCCCATCTTGCATCAACTCGTTCACATGGAAACGTTGGCTTCCCAAGGCTAAAAGAAACACAAACCATGCAACTCAACATTTCACCAACACAACACACTTGCCATGATTCAATGAACAGAAGTACGACGCATGTAAAATGTACACAGCTAGCCAACGGGGAACCTGGTAAACACATGTTTCTTTTCTAAATCCATGTATTGAATTGGGATATAAAGCTGGTACATGGATCGACTTATGAAGGCTCTTTTAGAAACAAAAGATCTCACAAGCTATCCGAAAACATCAAATCCGAAGGTGGGTTATGATGGTGTATTGTTTTAGATCATGGGTTCTTGCATTTGGTACGTGGAAGGCAGCGGATTGGACAGAACTGGATGTGCGAGAGTGAGGTAGGCGGTTGAAAGATTGTGGAAAGTTTTAGGGTTTTAATTTGGCATGGGTAGTTTAGTAATTTACCATCCTTGTCTCGTCTTTCATGATTTTTGTTCCACCTATTTTTGTAGGACTGAAAAAAATGATTTTTGTCCCACTCAGGTTCTTTCTGGTCCTAGTCTATTGCCACGATTAACATGAGACAACAAGCTTTTGTATTGTCCAGTTCCACATACCAAACGCACCTGGAAAAACCCACTTTCTAAAGATGCTCCTAGTCGTATCACCTTATCAATTAGTATAACTCTACCATAAAAGTCAAGACTGTAATAACCCGTCCCACGTGGATGAAAAAGTAGATTTGTGGACTCCTTATAAATTCAAAGTTGTGGGCTAACCAATCACTTTCACCAAGGTTTTAAGTTGATTAGAAGGTTACTGGGCCAGCTTGTTGCTTTGGACTATGAGGTCTTAGAAAGACCATTACAATTATTTGATTAAACTAGTAAAGCTGAGCCATTGAGGCATGGGGCAAGGCATTCCACTTTGTATTTTGAAGGAAACATGGAACCCGTGGATATCAAATTCTATATGATTTACAAGATATAATTTACCTCCGGTTAACAACATTGTGCACTCGACATAGCCACTGGGAAAACTCAGCTTGTGAACCTGCCTGTATAGGATTTGATCTGCCAAACATTCACAACATGACGCTGTCAATTAAAAGGAATACCAATGCGTCTTTGATGCTTCCATATGATAAAAGCTACTCATAGTCTCCACACTTGAAATACAACTACCAATTCAATCTTGAGATTTAGTAAGAATAGCAGACGGTATACTAGTTGCAAAAACCTTGTGTGTCAGAGATGCAAGCCTGTTCATCTTTTTGTCAAACAACACTTCCAAGAGTAACTAATAAGTTTACGTTTCACAGTTGGAAAATTGCAATAGAAATGTCACAATAGACACTTCTGATACTGTTATGCATCTTGGAAGTTTAATAATGAAATAGTACAAGTTCATTCCATGTAATGTAAGGCAATGGCACTACCTTAGCACTTCTTTGAAGTGGTCTGCACATTCCTTGCAAGGGTATATGCGGGATATAATTGCCATCTGCAGGAAGAATACAACCCCATCATAATACACAATTTTTTCCTGTTTAGAAAAGGCTCAGTTCATGCTCTCCATACCATTGTTCTGCTGAGAATTTTCGCATAATACCAAGACCTTAAGGGTGCGTTTGGTGCGCAGACAGGACAGGACAGCTGTTCAGCGTTTGGTAAGACAGAACAGGACAGGACAGAACTGGTTAAAATGACCAATTTACCCCCAGTGAGCTATTTAGTGTTTTTTCACTAAATAATCAATATAAATGTTTACAAATACTATTTAAAAATACCAAAAAATTCCAAAATCAATCTTAACTAAAAACTCACATTCATAAATCAAAAGATTTAAACATCATATTCACCAACAAAAATTGAAATGTTTACCAAAAGACCTAAACACAAAAGATCAAATGTGTACAATTGTGTACCAAAAGACTTAAACACAAAAGATCAAGTGTTTACCAACCAACATCACATGTCTAACTTTTTTAAGATGGTAGTCACAAATTTTGGCTTCAAAGTAGCATTAATGCTATTCCATAGAGAGGATTGGACAGGCAAGAATGAGGTAGGCGGGTGAAAGAATTCTGCAGGGTTTTAATTTGGCATGGATAGTTTAGTAACCTACCAATCTCGTCCATCTCCCTGATTTTAGAGAAAATCAATTTTGTCCCATTTGGGTCCTGTCATGTCCCAATCTAATGACGTGCCAAACATGGGATAGCAAGTTTACTGTACTGTCCTGTCCGGCGTACCAAACACACTAAAACAGTTGAAATTATTGAAGTATCAATCTTACAAAATTTGGCAACAGTAAGATGCCCACTTAACTTCTCATACTGAATAATACTAGCCAGTAAGAATGAAAAAGGAAGCAGATATAAACGAAGGGGGTAAATACCAGTTCTTTAACATCTTTCTTTTGCTGCCTGGTTGGCTTTTCTGGATACTGAAAAGTTTGAACAGCATTAAGAATAGTTGGTGAAACAACTGGAACACATTGTCAAAAGAACGAATGAAACAAAGCATGCAAAACAACTGTTTGAGGAAAGAGGAACAGCCTAACTGTCTATATGATGGTATGGCTCACAACTGCTGCTGTATTATCTAAATTATAGGTAAATATTTGGATCTAGTAATACTTAGGTCACTGGAAGCAGTTATTTTAAGTAAACCATAGGTGCATACTTGGATCAAGTGATATGTTCAGTTGCGCTGTTTTTCTTCCTTCAAGTAATTATTTCAAGTTTTATTCTAGGAACATGAGACTATTTATCAAACAACATATGAAACTATAGAGGACACAAAAAGGGTATATATGATGTTTATTGATCTAGAGAAGTTATATGATATAGTGTCAAAGAAAGTGATGTTGTCTACTTCCAGGAAAAAAAGGTTCCTAGAATGTAAGTGAACGTGATTAAAGACAAGGGTAAATTACATCAAAATGGAACCAACTTTGGGTTATTCCTATTCTGGGAACCAACTTTCAAGACTATCATTTTGCTAGAAGTAAACTTTACAAACAGTTACGGGTTTCGATGACTTTTTTAGCAGGTGACCAGTTAAATAGAATCTGGAAAGCATGTAAAATTAATTTGGTAACGTGAACGGTGAACCCAGTCATCCATGCAATAACTTTGGTGCAGCCACATGACCATATTGTTGTTTTTTCATATAAAAGCAGGAAGATCAACCAGAACATCTTTTCTAGGAGATCAACAACTGTCGGTTTCTGATAGGCTGTGAGCCCAAGTTTATGTCATCTTTGTTACTTACCTAACTCTTTTATATATTTATTTGGACACACAAATGCAGACATAATCATTTTATTTTATAAATACACACAGTATACATGAAATAACTAACAAGAGAAAACCTGAGCACCAAGAGTGTGAATGAAAGTCCAAGTGGCCCTTCCGAGCTGTTCCCTAGTCACTGGACCAACCTGCTGCAGAAAATACAACATAATGAAATTCATAATCTCATAGAATGTGTGCAATTAACACACATCATCACTTCGAGTATCATGATTTTTTGTAGAAGGAAACATCTTTAGCTGGCCCGCATTCATATATTATAGAGACTGCACAGCAAGGTCTGATTTGGATATTTAATTATAAACCCAGGAAAATCACATATTCAAAAACTTATCATTGCTTATTGGAAACCATAGAACCTTGTGATATAGCGTTTTAATTGCCTGAAACATATGGTTGAACACACATACAAGTCTTTCTGAATCCTCTCAATATATTTTGCTGTATAGGCATTAGTAGGTCATTTTAAACTCAATAATTGGGAAATTAATTGCTTGATTCATATGAATTGAAAAAGAATCCCCTGTGATTCTTCACTTTCAAGTTACCCCCAACATTTATCATGAATAACATTCCTTTGAGTCCCTCCACATTATCACCCATGAAAAAAGCAATTTGATCAATAACTTGGTCCATAAAGGATAATGCTTCTCATCTTTCAATGAGTTCATCAATAAAAGATAACAGAAGGAGTAACAGTTATACAAATATCGTGCCATGCTCCTGGTTCTGGACTTGCATCAAACAGTTGGTGGGCATGATGAATTTTCACAAACATAGTTTGAAGTCAAATCAAATTTCATTTTAAGAACGAGTATGGAGAGTATAAACTGAAATTAGGTTACCTTTTCCGTGGGTTGGAAAAGAGAAGAATCAGCGGCAAGCATCGATGAGGTAGCTGTGGGAGGTGCAGGTACAGAAACTGAAAACTGTACATTTGTACCTGTATGTGGCTTTTGGGTGATGCTGATCAATTTTGAAATATTTGTGTGAAGAGAGACTGAAATTCTTCCAATGGTGCTACAGATTGCTTGCAGAGGGTTATCCGACATTTTGACACATAAAAAAAGGGAGAGGAGATTGTTGCCGGTTAACAGGAAGATCTTACTTCAATTATGCTACCATTGACGCTCCTTTTTGGGATGTTTGGGATTGTTTATATAAAACAAGTTATATCTATATTATATTATAAAATATTTAATAAAAAAATTTATCAATACAATATATAAAATATTTGATAAAAACTCTTAAAAATTATTTTTTATGCATAAAATACTGTTTATTAATGTATATTACTTAAAACTCAAGATTGCAAGTAAATTGTGTGTAAGTACAACTTATTAAAGCTCCATATCTGAATTCGTGTAACTAACTGCATATAAACATACAGAATAAACATCTCATTTTTAATATAAAAAAAATCTAAAATATAATTAGGATAATCATTGAGTTCTAACATAATACTTAGTTATTATCTTTATAAAATCTTATATTATAAACCAAAAATAAATTATTTCGTTATTAAACTTAAATTAAATTATAATTAAAAAAACTACATAAAAAATAAAACTTTTAAATAGTTGTTTTGATATTAATATATATATATATATATATATATATTTAAATTTATATTTTATTCAAAAATAAAATCATTGTTGCTTTTTTAAAAACACATAAAATCATATTATAACATCGACAGAGACAAATAATAAAATAGAACATTAAAATCGAGATGTGTCTCGCTGCATCGTACGAGTACTCTTCTAGTTTTTTTTATAAAAGTGTTTATTAACTTATTATAAGTCAGAGTTTAATTTTTTCAAAAATTTCTTATTACCGGTTTAGCATCGATATAAGTTGTTTATCCAAACACTCAAAAATGTTTATTATCGGTGTCAAACCGAAATAAACCAATAAGTTATTTTTATAAGCAATCTCAAACACCCCCTTAATCATCACATCCTCTCTCATAAAAAAACACATTATTTCAGCTGTTTTTTTTTTTCTATATTTAATTTTTTTTAGGCTTTTTAATTCTACAAATGTTCAATTTTCGTTTTAAAAAACCCTAAAAACAACGTAATTTTATATTTGAGTTATATCATTTCTCTTTTATCTATCAACAAATCAGTAGTAAAATATAATGAATTAATAAAACAGAAGGAATACACGACCATTATTTACTATTTACTGTATTTAGATTCAAATATTAATCATCGTGTTTGTTATGATCTTCTGATTATCATATCAAGCTTAAAAACAAATAATAGATGATGCAAATGACATATAATCATTTAATTTTATTGGTTTATTATACTTTATTACTAATCTATTGATACATTGGCTTAATCGTTCAGAATATGAAAGTCTATTGGGTTATTTCAACTTTAGTAAGTTCAAAATTTTATTTGTTCAAAAAAAATATTGAGAGACTTAGGTGCCGTTTACCAAACGCTTACCCGGGTAAACGCTTACCAAGTCACTTTACTTTATCATATGAATACGACAATGATTAAAAATCTTACCCGGTAAGAATGAAGGCAAGAATCGAGAGTCTTATCCGGTAAGTAAGGACGATGACTCTTACCATGGTTAGCGCTTACCGGGATAAATTGTTGCATACGATGCGTTTTAGTGAATGAAATCTTATCCGGTACGTAAGCGATAATGTTGAATTTTATCGGTAAATGCTTACCGGGTAAGTGTTTAAGTAAACATCCCCTTAATCAATCAAAAATTGACAACATTTTTGCTTTTTATTCAATGTATTTAATATTTATTGTATTTATCAAATGTAAATTTATTATTACTTTACCATTTTTGTAAACTAGGTTTATTCTGTTGTCATTATTTTACCCTCTTGCAAATTGAAGGGGTAAAAAATAAGAAAGACAAAATATAGAATCATGATTAAATTATGATTTTCGTCTCTATGGTTTGTTAATGATTTTCGTTTTTGTTTTTGAGGTTTAGAAATTTAATGGGCTTATTCGATACAAATATATTGATTTGGTTACTTGTGGCTTAATGGGAAAACCTTTGACTTAATCGCACAACCAAGAAGGGTCTCTTGTCCCCGTTAAGACAAAAAGTTACTTTGCCTACCTTTGATGAAATGACATGCTATCTCCAAAACTCATCCATGTTTCACCATTTTCTCCTTGTTGACATCGCTGCTCCCTTTCTTCACTCGATCCCGACCTCGATGACGACCCTCATCTTCGCACCTCTCGTTCCCTTGCGCTCCCGTCGACTACTCGTACAAGTCCTATATTGATTTCTTTCTTAACCCTCCAACCCTAGTTGCTTCATAACACCTTATTCCTCCTCTTGAGGGTTTCACTGGATGTCCTTTTGTTACTGAACTATTATCAATTGATAATTCGAGCAAAGGGGGCTTTTACTCGGTAGTGGAGGTGATGAAGAATCCAATTCTTATGGTCCGCTAATGGATTCCTAATTATCTTGTAAGGGAAACTCCATTTTTTATGCGATCTGATTGTTTTTAGCGGCTCTGACCATAACTATCAAAGTTATGTGTGTTCCTTCTCTGTCTGAGGTATAACTCGCTTATCAGAAAAATTCTTATCTATTTTGAACTTTCTTCAATCCTATTTGCTTATGAATACCCCCGTACTTGTTTTGAATTGTGTAATGGAATTATTCATACTTTATTTTTTGTAAATTGATCAAGTCTCCGGATGAAATAAGTTGGAATTAGGCTTGTAAAGAGATGATGAGCACTATTTTATTTGGGTAAACTTTAAGATGCGTGTACGCTGGTTTTTTATGTCATAAAGTGGAACGTGTTTGCTACAGATTAGGAACAATATGTTATTTGGATAAATTTTAGGATCGTGTAAACTGGCATCTTTTGCAAGTTGATCGATCCTTAAATTTTAAGAATTGAGTTTAAGCCATCATAATTAAGTAGTTTTCTGTCGTTTAGAAATATCACACAATGTTTATTTCATACCAAGGGGTAAAATAATCATTTCTGTCATTCATACTGTTGATTCAGCAAAAAAGTAAACAACAATACATTTTTATCCAAATATAATAATTTACACAAAAAGACAAATTTATCCATAAAAGACTTAAATACATATGTGGTAAACAACCCTAAATCACTCACAACTACAAATTAATTTTAAATCAATTTAAGCTTCAACTCAAGGAATTCATTGTTTGCTACAATGTCTGGTTCAATGGGTTCCATTACGGTCTTCAACTAATGTGCGATTTCTATTTTTGGATATTACACATGTGCTACAATACCTTAAATATGCAATGTGTTTTGCAAAACTTATATATATATATATATATAGAGAGAGAGAGAGAGAGAGAGGGGGGGGGAGGGAGTTCGAACGAAAACCGCTCTGTTTTGCGCAAATACAAGAACAATTGTGAGCCTCTAACCTTTTTAACCAATTATTTAAATGATAATAAATAAAAATAAATCAACAAGGGTAATAATGTAACTAGGTACTTTTTATAGTTTTCATGTTAATCTAATTAATTGTAATTATTCCCATCATTTTAGATTGGAATTTGATCACGTTAAATCTCACGTCCCCATTGTTTTCCGTATTTGCATATTCGATCTTGTGATATTCGAGATTTCAAATTTCTTTTTCGATCTTGTGATATTATTGGTTTGTTGTATCTGCATTTGATCTTGTTATATTATGTATCTGCATATTCGGTCTTGTGATAAATATGTGATGGTCTATTGTGATGTGATAAATATGTAACTCTCTCACAATCATTCAATAAATTAGTGATATTCAGAGCGTCCCTTAGCATGTTAAATGTAAGATTTTGAACATGGCCCTCGACATCTTAGGAGTCCAAATTTACATGTGTTTAGGGTCTTTTATCGACTTGTGTAAAACTATAGCCAAAATTGTTTAGCTTTAAATTATTAATTGTTTGGTTTTAGGTTAAAAATAATAAATGGTTTAGGTTTAGTTTCATATTGTTAATGGTTTAGATTTAGTTTCATATTGTTAATGGTTTAGGTTTAGCCCCATTTTTGTTCTGAACATATATTCTCTGTTATTTCATTTATGCAATGTAATCAAAAGTTTTGGATGTAGCAAAGCCTCCAAAAAAGTTGGAACGTCTCTGGTGATATTAGATGACACATTGTGATAAGCGTGTGATAATCTTCCCCTTATTGACGTGTTACTATGATATCAATGTAGTAGCCAATCATCTTCCCCTGGAATATATATATATATATATATATATGTTGCGAATCACAAAGTCATCACAATGTATAGGTATCCAAATGTGACAATTGTGATAAGAATGGTGTGATAATGCGGGTGTGATAGCAGTGTGATTATAATGCGAAACCCAATCTTCCTCTAATCGATGTGTTAACGTCTTGTTTGATTCGAGTTTTTAACTGTGAAAGTAATGTGATTGTCAATCAGTGAGATAGTTAAATGTGATAAACAACTTTTGTTGTTCGGACTGTGATAACACTCCATATTTTTCAACCCCTGACCAATTAAGTTACATAAATTGATCATGATCGAGCAGAAAGTTGATAACAGAATGGAAGACCCAATCACTGACATACAAAAATCGAACACTCACCTCGAGTCCAAGCATTGTCGAAGCCTTTATGGCCATGGAGGTTCACCTACGATGACTCCATGTCATATATGGTTACCAGGGGATTAGTTGCTATGTGTCAGTTGACCTGAAAATACGTTACTCAAAACACACATATATTGAAAAAGGTTCAAGTTGTTTCCACTAAAGACCGATGGTTTCTTTTCTGGCAATTAATTACTTAAAACGTTATTAACTTTCTAACACCATTGCTTTCAAAATAATTTTGGTTTGAAGACATTTTTAAAAAGTTGACTGATCTTATGATATCATTTATTTTATGGTGTTACTGGTTTATTTTATGACAATTTTTAGAATAAATAAAGTACCTTATTTTTTTAATACTAAAAAAAATACACCTGACTTAATTTATAACAAGATATGATAGCAATCAATTCGATTTATAATGTGGTGATTTATTTTAATCGTACCATATATTTAAAAGAAACCGGGGGCCAAAGGCCTAGGGGTGTCCATGGGTTCCTCATTTACTCTATTTCAGATTTTTCCAATATAAGAGGTTGTTTGTTTACCTCTTAATAGTTCCATTAAGAGACAATCTCTGAATCGTTAAGAAGTGAATCTTGTTTGGCAAAAAAAAGGTCTGCCTTTTAATGGTTACAAAACCCTCTTGAATGATTTTGTATCATGAACCTCTATTGTCCATTAAGAGTCTTAATTTCATTATGAACAATTATACTTCATTTTGCAATATATCATGAGAGCCTCTTAATCATTCTGACAATTTAATAATTTTGCACAAAACCATTCGATAACTACAAAAGGTTTTCGGTGTATGAAATTATCCAAACCCAAATCCGAAAAACAAACCCGAATTTCAAATCTTCGTTGGATAATCCATTGAAAAACACACGTATTCGTGATTGCAATTGCAAATCACATGGGAGGATATTATAATTATATAGATTGCGTCAAGGAATCTCAATTTGCTTCCCAAAAGTCAAACAAATAATCTCCTCATAAACTTCAGCAGCCTCAATCCAAAAAAAGGAAGATATCAATATATTTGATTCATTTAGATTCCATTTACATCTTCACTTGATTCTATGAACAATCAAACGCCAATTTCTTAAATCAAGATTCAAGACCATGGTGATGGCATAGCATCCAAAAGATCAAGCTTTCGATCGTCAAGATTCATCCTCTTTTCATGGGTCAGGAGGGAAATCAAGATACGATCATGAGCGATGATCACAACAATGGAGTCGATAAGAAATCAAACCCTACACTAACCTTATTACCTCTAATTGCCCTGATCTTTTACGAAGTTTCTGGTGGTCCATTTGGTGTAGAAGATTCAGTTAAAGCAGGAGGAGGTGCTCTACTTTCCTTATTAGGGTTCACCATTTTCCCAATTTTCTGGAGCATCCCAGAAGCCCTAGTCACAGCTGAACTTGCCACAAGTTTCCCTAAAAATGGCGGTTATGTCATCTGGATATCATCAGCTTTCGGCCCTTTTTGGGGTTTCCAAGAAGGGTTTTGGAAATGGTTTAGTGGGGTTATGGATAATGCACTTTACCCAGTTCTATTTCTTGATTACTTGAAACATTCACTTCCAATCTTTGATGAATTGTATGCTAGAATTCCAGCCCTCTTAGCAATCACTATTTTGTTAACTTATTTGAACTACAGAGGCCTTCATATTGTAGGAACTGCTGCCATTCTTCTTGCTGGTTTCTCTTTACTTCCATTTGTGGTAATGGGTATGCTTTCAATCCCCAAAATCAGGGCTAAAAGATGGGTATCTGTTGATTTCAAGAAAGTGGAATGGAGGGGTTATTTCAATAGCATGTTTTGGAACTTGAATTATTGGGATAAAGCCAGTACACTTGCTGGGGAGGTTCAAGATCCCAGTAGGACTTTTCCGAAAGCTCTTTATGGTGCGGTTATTTTGGTCGTTTGTTCGTATTTGATTCCCCTTTTGGCGGGCACAGGGTCGTTAGACTCGGATTCTAGTAAGTGGAGTGATGGGTACTTTGCTGAAGTTGGGATGTTGATAGGAGGATCTTGGCTGAAATGGTGGATTCAGGCTGCTGCTGCTTTGTCGAATTTGGGGTTGTTCGAAGCAGAAATGAGTAGTGATGCTTTCCAACTTCTTGGCATGAGTGAAATCGGGATGCTCCCTTCGGTATTTGCTTCCAGGTATCTATTTCTTCGTTACTAGACTGTTTGATTTACGTCGTTTTGGCATGATATCTATAGGTTACACGAAGCGAAAATCTCTCAAAGTTCAAAATTGAATCATATATGCTATATAGTTTTATCTCGAATCTTGTAGAGCATTCAATGTTCGCTTATGGGACGTTTACCAACACACATTGGGTAATCGTTAACTGGATAAGCGCTGATTGGAACTGGTTGTTTCCCGAGTGTTTTGTAGTAAGTGCATACCCAGTAAAAAACATTTGGTAAGCACTCTATGACTCAGGTCACCGACATTTTGGTGGGTGACATGGTCAACACCTCGATCGGTCAGAAGTGTAGGTAAACAACATCATCTCTTACTGGGTAAGAAGCTTACCTAGTAAGAGAGAATCGACACCAAGTAAAGAGTACCTTACACTACAATAAAATTGGGTTTATAGGACGCCAACAATGTCTAAGGGGCCGTTTACTAAACACTTGTGCGTTTACTGGGTCATTTACCTTACCGGATGAACATGGTAAGACCGAGAATCTTACCAGATAAGTTTTAAATTAGCTATTTTATAGGAAACTTTTGAGAACTGCCATATAACCAATCTTTTTACAGGACGTTTGTTTTTACAAGACATTTTTTCAATTAGTGTTCTGTAAAATAGCTAATAAGATGCTTAATTTTAAAAATGTCCTAAAAGGTTTGTTTAGACGCCAAAGACATCCTACACTCGAAAATTAGGTTCAAATGCATCAATTTCTTGTGTTTATTCTCTTCTCTATCGTTTTACTTATAATCTGCAAACGTAAAACCTCATAGGTCGAAGTTCGGGACACCCACAATCAGCATATTGTGCTCCGCAACCGGTGTGATCTTCCTTTCATGGATGAGTTTTCAAGAAATCTTGGAATTTCTTAACTTTCTTTACGCCATTGGAATGCTTCTCGAATTCGCAGCTTTTATAAAGCTCAGATTAAAGAAGCCTGATCTTCATAGACCTTATAAAGTTCCTCTGAAAACGTTTGGTGCAATGATGCTGTGTGTACCGCCGTCCGTTTTACTCGTACTCGTTATGTGTTTAGCATCCGCAAGAACCTTCCTAGTGACCGGTGCAGTTGTTGTTCTCGGGTTCATTTTGTACCCGGTCATCATTCACGCGAAGAATAAGAAGTGGGCCCACTTTCTTTCCTCCGATGACGTAAATTCTTGTGATCGTGATGTCGAAGACGAAGACCAAGATAACGGGATGGTGCATATTGCCGATGAGGCCGAGGTCAGCCTGCTATCGGACACGTCCTCTTCTAAAACGGAAAAAATATACGAAATATTACCCGAAGGAGTATCGAAGTCGGAGTGAGACCGGTGTACATACCGTATTCTACATTCTTGTTGTATTTATAGAAAATTACGATATTTTGTCTTACAAGTTGTTGAAGGACCGGTGAATGGTGATATGCATATTGTACTTGTACTATGAAACACACTTTTTGCAAATTGCAATTTAAACCCCTTAAAGTTACGTTAGTTGCAGAACGAACCTCCGTGTTATTGACTTTGCTATAGATTTCAGGTTTCTTTCGTTTACGTTATTTGTGTACCTTTCATTTCACGGGTTTGATTTTCATTTGGTCGGTATGAATTTATATTCAAATTTTAATATTTAAAAAGACTTGCTAAAAGTCACACCAAGCAAACTTGTTATATCTCACCTGGAGGTGGGATATAGCGATGGTCAGATGTACCATGACTTTTACACTAAAGAGTAGAATGATTGTTTCTGTGAAAAAAACATACAGATTACTTCGCATTTGGTAGTAAATTTCAATTGGCTGCAACCTATTCTCATGGTCGTTGAACACCACTGATGAAGCGATTGTTAGTAATAATCTATCATATGTGGTCACAATTGTGGTTATCAAATGCATTACAACTCACAACGATCACTGACCCATGATCATAAGAATATGTGGTCTCGACTTCAACACAATTATCAAGGGTTCAATGATTCCAAGTCGATACAAAAGTATGAAAGTGTTCAGTTCCATTCTCAATGGCAAAGGGTCTCAATTATGTATTAGTTATTGCATACTAACAACATGTGTCAGCTTGTAGTAATTGAGTTTAGTTCATCATCTTTTTAGTATGATAATCAAGGGGGCGTTTACCAAACGCTTACTCGGGTAAGTGAATATTAAGTCACATAACCTTACCGGATGAATATGGCAAGGACTAAGGGTGCGTTTGGTTTGCGGGATTGGAATGGATTTGGGGGGATTTGGATTTGAAATCCATTCCAATCCTGTGTTTGGTTTGTTGGAATGGTAGGATTTCAAATCCAAGGAATCATCTAAAATCCCGTGAACTATGGATTTCAAAATCCTTTGAAAATACATGGGATTTTGAAACCCATCCCCGTGGGATTTCATCTTCTCCATATTCTCGTCTCCCACAGCTTATCGCTCCTCCATTGATTGCTCACCATCGTCGATCTCGTCTCCATCTTCTCCCACAGCGGTCGTCGCTCCTCCATTGATTGCTCACCGTCGTCGATCATCGTCTCCGTCGGTGGTTGTTGCTCACCGTCTCCGTCGCCCACCGTCTCCGTCGCCGTCTCCCACTGTGGTCCTCGCCGATAAACCGCCTTCTCCCATCACTCAACAGGTTTTTCCCCTTTCCCCTTTTCCCCTTTTCCCCTTTTCGATTTCTGTCTAAACTTTGAACACAGATTAGGGTTTATCCTTCACTTTTGACAGATTAGGTTGAAAATTCTAGTGTAATGGTGGTGATAACTTTGCCATACATACAGTTCGATGATTGCGTTATACTTTAGTTGTCTTCACTATATACCCTAGTTCACCCTTCAATGAAGATCTGTTTCTTGGTGTGCTTATGGATGATGCTTATCCAAATCCAAATCCTGCAAACCAAACACAGGAATGGATTTTAAATCCTRAGAATCCAAATCCCATGGAATCCAAATCCTTCATGGGAATCCAAATCCCTCGTAAACATTCCTGCAAACCAAACGCACCCTAAGAATTTTACCCGGTAAGAGCGAGACAAGGACCAATAGTCTTACTCGATAAGTGAAGACGACGATTCTTACCACGGTAAAAGTTTAAAATGTACGTTTTGGTGGACTAAAATCTTATCCGATGAGTAAATAACAGTGTTAAATTTTACCGGTAAACGCTTACCAGGTAAGTGTTTGGTTATAACTTATTTAACATTTTATGTGACAAAAACAATGTTCAGAAATTTCGTTCACTCATGAATAAGGTGTAGTAATTTGCTCCACCATAAACTAGAGGGCTGTATTGCAATATTGTGTTAAGTTCGGGGGTAAGTTTTGCAATTTACCCAAAAGATTGTCAAGCGGGTTATTTCTTGTTCTTGCATAAGTAGCGATTTACAACAAATAATTCGGGAAAGGGTTTTCCGATTCCTAAATCAAAATTCTAGGGTTTCGATTGCTGCTCGGAATCTAACCCGCGATCGGAAGATAAACGTAAATTTGGTGGCCGATTTTAAAGAAAACATCGAGGAATCTCGGAGCAACGATTCAATTGTCAAAATCAAGAAGCGCGATTCAGGTCAGTTCTCCCTCATCTGATTGTTGTTTTTGTTGCTGAATTGTTAAATTGGAATGTTCACTGTAGATCGGAATCACTTATAGATTTCATCTTTGTGTTCGCATTGAAAAATGCTTTTGAGTTCTTGTAAGTTCCTCATTTTCATTATCGATCAATTTGATACAAAGTTGCAAATTTTATTAGACTATCGAACATTAATTCATCAACGGAGGAGGCTAACTTTAATTGGTATAATTAGTTTCTTAGCATTTGTCAGAGTTGAAAGGGTAGTGGATGTAACTGGAGTATATCAGTTCGAATTCGCATCAACATTCTAGAAGTGGAAAAACAGCCTTTACCCTCACACTGATCCGCAAAATGGGAATAGCTGGGAAGTCTTTATGTCGTAGTATATAAAAAATGTAGAATTTGAAAGGAGTTTCTTGAGAGTTGAGCCAAGTTGAGATATGGAAAACAGATTTTGAGTCTGCATTATGAGGATGATCATAAAAGCGGAAAAAATTAAATAGTATCAGATGTCAGGTCTCAACAAGTTCAGGGCAATTTTATGACTTAAAGAATCACCTGTGGCTCAATATAGCCCTACATTTACCTTTAGGGAAGGGCCAATTCCTTGAAAAAGTAAGGAGACATTTATCATGTGGGTTGTGGCCCTCATTATGGGCATGCCTATCTCCTTTGGATCAATGTGTTAGCCGAGTCAAGTATACTTAAAAGGGTTGGGACCAGGTAAAAGTACATCTATATCACTCATCACCATATGATCTAATCTATTCCCGGAGGTGAGCATACTCTATGTGCTTGTTTCTTACTTAAATGATTGGAATCATATAAGAGTACATCCAAATAAGTTACACTATGTGATCTAATCTATCTCTTGAGGGGAGAGCATCTTGTATTGTTGTTTTGTCTTTTCTTCTATTTATTTTATCCCAATTCATCTTTTTTTCTTTTCTCCCAAATCAAGTTGTAACTTCTGTTTACAACTTCTTTCAAAGAATCTCTCTTTACTGAAGGGTGTTGTATTCCTGCATGTAAAAAAGGTGTGAATCCAATTTAAAACTCTGGTAATGGTTTTTTTATAACTTGGACTAGGTAGTATATGATTGTAAAAATGGCGGTAATTGGTGTTCATCCTAACATGTCCAGGTGATATGTCTTTCTATATATATATGCACATAAAAGGACATATACTTCTTGAAATAATGAAACATTCTCCCCTTGTTAACTCGTGGCTCACCCTGATCTATACTACCAATGCATTTTGTATATATCAAATCTTAAACCTTATGTGATTCTGCATTGATAGCTGGTACTAACATGAATGGCTATTACCACTCAATTTGGACTACGAAAGCATCTCGTTTAGTCATCAGGCCATACATTATCCTAAGTTGAACTTATTGAAAACCTAATTCAAATATTACTTAGGATGTGTGTGAAACATAATGGGAGCAGGCTTCTTGCAATCTATTTAATCTGGACCGAAATTTTAATTCATCACATAGGAACTTTGACATAAATGGGACATACCCTGCAAAAGAGAAAGGACAATATGAGATTTACAATGACAATAAGAAGAGAAACAGAGAACCTTTAGTAGTTCCTGATACTTTACATTGTTTTCTTTTTTGGTAATATAGGCTCCTGTTGCTTTCTTTGTGTTCATCATCTTTGCTTAGGCGCTTTTCAGCGTCTTCACAATGTTGCAGAAGAGTCCATGTTTCCCACCTCTTTGGTTTGGGTACCATGTGCATTTTTGGTAACGTGCTTGTTATGTTATTTTACACTTGGTACACACATGGCACCGAGATACATACGGAGGCAGACAGGGGGAAGTATGAATTGTCAAATCCTGGCACAAGGATAGCCAATATCACATTATCATGATAACGTATATGATAGTTCCATATCTTGTTAACACAATCTTAGTGTATTTCATTTGGAGCATATTCTGGGATAGGCTTGTCTTATTGCATGCTTTCTGCCAAATTTTCAATAGAATTATAGCAAGTACTTCATATTGAGAATCAAAATGTTGATTTGGGATATTGGTGGATTTCAGGTATTTAAGGGATGGGTGCCAATCAGCAGTATACACGAGTAGATACATTAGAGCTGAAAGCTCTTTTGTATCAAAAGATTGGGCAACAAAGAGCAGAGAAATATTTTAATTTGCTCAACAAACTATTCAGTCTCCAGCTTACCAAGAGCAATTTTGACAAGTTCTGCATTCGGACTATTGGGAGGGAAAATCTTCCTCTACACAATCGGTTAATTTGTTCAATTGTGAAAAATGCTTCTCTAGCTAAAGTCCCTCCTCCAACAGTTAAAAAATTAGCAAGCTCTCTCAATGTTAAAGTTGCTAGGTGCTCCTCTCAAAGGAACAGTCTTCAGTCACTTTATGGAGATTCATTTCCTTTATCACCTCGCAAGAGCAGATCTCCACGGGATCGCAAATTTAAGGACCGTCCTAGTCCTCTTGGCCCAAATGGGAAGTCTGATTATGTTGGTGAAGCGGGGTCGAAGGTGCAACAGGAGCTGCATCAAAGTCCAACGGAACTGAATTCTCTGGGTAGCAGACCACCTATTGAAGTTTTATCTGTGGAAGATGGGGAAGAAGTGGTTTCTGGAAGTCCAGGCATTCAGAGCAGGAGCCCAGTTACAGCTCCTCTTGGCATTTCCTTGAAAATGAACAAGGCCCGGAAAAATTTATATCATACTTCTTCAATATATGGTTCGCGGCCTCAGACATGTCAAAACAGCTATGAACTACCGGAGAGTAGATATTTGAGGGGCCGTTTGAAGCAGAAATTGGAGAGCGAGCGTCTAAGCATATCTGAGGATTGTGCTAATTTGTTAAATGTTGGTTTGGATGCTTACTTGAAGAGATTGATGGAACCTTGTATAGGGCTTGCTCGGTCAAGGATCAGTCAAACTGCACCTGGTTTTAGTGGAAGCTTAAATCGGCAAAGGCCAAGGATACCATCAGGCGTGTCTTTGTTGGATTTTAACGTGTCAGTGGAGTGTGATCCTCACAGACTTGGAGCGGATTGGTCATCACAATTGGAGAAGTTAAGGTTTAGCAGTCTTGTGGAATGAAATTCTTTGTCTCCTGTTTTCCTGTTATTCTTCTAGATGTTTCCATTTTATGGTTATGGAAGTATGGTTCTTGATACTTGTCTCTGTTTTGTTTATGGGGACTACTTTCAAGTTTCAATGGCTGTCTTTATTAGTCTGTGATGTATAGCATAAGGGGATATATGCCTCCAAGATTGCATATATTCTCTTGCATTTATTCAAGTTCTGGATTGTCTCTATTATTATTTGTCTTGTGACTTCAATGTTGTTGGAGTCATCTCATGATTTCCTAACCTAGATTAGGAATTCCTGAACCGTCCATAGCATGACATGTATCATATTTGTCATAAATGTTGCCGCATATTCATTATGAACGTGTGACTCATGATGAATTTCACTTCCATAGAAGGATATATGACATGCTGTGGATGGTTCCTGGGTTTCTAATCAATTTTAGGTTCCTAACAGGGCTTTCCCTTGGACTAATTATGGAATGAAAACATATTCGTTAACAATTGTATAGATTTGCCCTGTGGTTTCAATGAACAAACATATTACATGATCCTGCTGACTGTGTACAATAGATGCCATTTCTGCACAGACCCTTTAGGCTTTGAAAAGGGCAGTGATCACAGTTTGTAGATGGAGGGTGTTCTATGAGTTGGCTGCTGCTGCTTTTGATAAGTTGGCCATGTACGTAATGTAAATCGTCCATACGTACGAAAAAGAGTTGCTGACTAGCGGCTGAAAATGAAAACCAGCATCATGTCAATCGCAGACACATAATATATTTAGGGTTATGTCAGAATTAGGTCAAATCATACATTAAAGATCTATGTATCTAGTACACTGTAAAGAAAGAAAATGAGATTTTGGTAAATTACCTGCAAATGAACGGGGACAAATCTGAAAGTAATAAAATCACATATAGGCCAGTACAGAACATTGTTGATCATTGTGGGCACCATATCTCGGTTCAATCGAGCTACAATTTCTTCACCACTTTCACCTGAAATCAACAACAGTTACATAGAGTATGAAGATCAACAAAAAAGGGTGGGTAATTAATACCTTGTAGGGCTGCATTGACAGAGAAGAAAACAGCAGTCATAATAGGTCCAAATATCGTCTGCCCCATTAACATCTTTTTAAACGTTGCCATCAGGTCTTGCTTTGGCAACACTCTTGACACGAAGTTGAACCAAAGATGTAGCGTCGGGCCCAATATGATCAATCCATATCCAGCCATACGACAAATCCGTATCACATCATAACCACCCTCTGAAGAAGAAGATAACCGCGACATTGTCTGAACAGAACACGGGATTAAACTCCAAAGTCCAAATCACTAACTAAATCATTTAACACTCAAACTAATCCCACCAGAAGTGGGGTTTGAAGGGTGAGATGTATGTAGACCTTTCATCTACTCCAAAGACTAAAGTGTCTATTTCCATTCAGTTATGATGTTATACATGAACATGCACACATCACATCTAGGTGCTCATCATTTTAAACACATTGATGAAGTTTAGAAAACTAATGAGTGCATATATAACAACACATGATCGTTATTATGAAGCATGCAATATCTGTCAATTGAGAAGTAATGAGTTGCTTGCAAAATATCAATAAAAGTGTGTCTGGCTATTAGTAAGCTTGTACTTGCTGGAACCCTTTCCTCGTCTCTTGTCCCTCTTATTTCTCAATGCTCAACTACTTGTGATGTTTGGCAAATTAATGGCCATCTTGCAATATCACCAAAGGCATTCACTCCATCTAAGTATATGCAGGACATTAAGCAATGCACTGAAGGCCGTTTATTAAAATGCTTACCGGGTAAGCGCTTACCAATATCACTTGCCTTAAAAAACATGTGTGTGTGTGTAATTATACATATGATATACAGATTTGCGGCCATAAATCACACCTTGAAAAACATTGTGGACTCGCCCTGGCTCCTAAGGCTTGAGGCTCAACCTCATTGCCACACCACGAGCTCTCTCTCAAACACAAAGCCAAATCCTCCACTACCTTAGTATCACACCCCCCTACAGCTAGCTTTGCCCCCAACAATCAAAATCACCGTCCAACATCAAACACTGGCCTGCTGACCACCACCCACCGCCTGCCCGTTCCCCTCTCCTGCCACACACCGTCCTTCCCAGCACTTCTAAGGCCGCTGTCAATGGTGATGACTCAAAAGCACTTTGACTCACAATGCCTTATGGCTCAGGCCTAGCCATCTCAAACACCAGTTCCACATCTCTTCTTACTCCCACTACTAAATTTCATCTTAATCATATATTACAATTAGGATGGTCTGGGTCGCATTTTTCTCAAAGGCCCAAAAATAAACTACATAGTAAAATAAGTATCAATTATCCTCAACCGGAACTGATTAAAATAACTATCAATTACCCTCAACTGGAACTGATTATTAACTTCCAAATGTGTCGAACCGAGTAATCTTTTGATACCAAGATGACCTATATGACAGCAAAAATTATCATGTATCTTTGATTCTCTTGAGATAACTAGCACTTTATGAATGAGAGGGGTTGATCTTTATGGATATAAAGTAGAAACCACACAAGAACTGTCATGAAATCCTCAAAAGTTCAAATTCATTGCAAGAACACATTTACAAACATATTACAACTCAATAGCAAAGCAATTCAAGAACAGAAAACAAATGTTTGGGTTTAATTGAAGTACCTGAGATGTTAAATCAGCAGCAGTGTAAATGAGGGCAGATGTGATACTTTTGGTAAGAATGGGTCGGGTTTTAATCATACCCAAATACCAACCAACAAATCCACTATTTGTAATCGAAGATGACATCGTTCTACCATTGGTCTTAGTAGTAAGAGCACGAACTGGAACAGAAAACCCCATCTCCGTGGCTCTTCGACCAGGGAATCGGGAGTAAAAAGCATTGGAATGTTGCAGGTGCTGTTGCACACCGAGTGAATCCGAAAGCGAGTGCCTCATCCATATGTGGTAATGAGCTTTATTGCCGATCCTAAGAACACTTGCGTTCATTTTGATGGAGAAATGTTGGTTTGTGAATGAGGGTTTCCAGAAGTTGGGGGGAAGAAGAAGACGGCTTCTTATGGTTTGTGGGAGAGGGAAGAGCATGCCGCCTTCTTGCTTGCGTATTAAATATGAGACTCACTCGCGCCTAAATAATTGTATCTTTTATGGCCATCATATTTCAATTTTTATATTATAAATAATTATAGTAATTCAAGTCGTTTATTAAATATTAGAAGGGTATTCGTGCGATGTAACGAAATATATCTTGATTTTAATGTTCTATTTTATTTTTTGTTTCTGTCGATGTTACAATACGATTTTATGCGTTGTTAAGAAAACAATAATGATTTTATTTTTGAATAAAATATAAATTTAAAGATATCATAAAAATTTGAAAAAAAATATATCAATGTTAATATTAAATCAACTATTTAAAAGTTCTCATTTTTTATGTAATTTTTTTAAAAAAATTGTTATAATTTAATTTAAGTTTAATAATGAAATAATTTATTTTTTGTTTAATAATATAATATTTTATAAAGATAATAATTAAATATTGATGATTATCTTAATTATATTTTAAATTTCTTATATTTAAAATGAGATGTTTATCCTGTATTTGATTATGTTTATCTGCAGTTAGTTACACGAATTCAAATATGAAGCTTTAATAAGTTGTACTTACGCACAATTTACTTGTAATCTTGAGTTTTAAGTAACATGCATTAATAAACAGTATTTTATGCATAAAAAGTGATTTTTAAAAGTTTTTGTCAAATGTTTTATAATATAGTATAGATATATCAGGTAAACATTTATCGATATTATCATGATTAAGCATGACAAACATCAAAAAATTTATGTGGTAAGACGCATAATGTAATTGTCCAACTGAGGGTAATTTTTCATACCGATAAGTGTTTACCCAGTAATTTGATAAAAAAACCCTCTACTTATAAGTTTGTACTAAATAATATTAAGATACCGTTTACCTAAATGCTTACCCGGTAAGTGTTTAACGTTAAGTATTAACACTATAATTTATTTTATTGAGTAAGATTGTAGTACATCAAAACGTATCATATACAACAATTTACCTGATAAGCGCTTATCCGGGTAAGAGTCGTCACCCCTCACTTGCCGGGTAAGACTCTCCATCCTTATCATCGCTTTTATCGGGTAAGATTTTTGGTCCTTGTCATGTTCATCTAATGAGAAAAGTTACCCGATAAAACTGCACATTTAATGTAAATCATGCATTAATTACTTTTTGTTAATAAAATTTATAACTAATTTCTAATTTCAGTACTAAATGAAATATAAAAAATTATTATGAAAATTCTTAAATAATTATTATGAAAATATAAAAAATTATTATAAAAATTATTGAGTGAAAAATGTAATAAAAAAAATACGGACCTACGTGAAAAATGAAAAAGAAATCCAGACATGGATAGAAAATGTAATTTTTTTGCTTTTTAAATGGGTATGCAATTGGGACGTGAGTTTTGGAGAACTATGGTTATTTTAATAAATTTGGAGAAAAATGATTAAATGGTTGTTTGTTTACTTCTTAATAGTTTAATTAAGAGGCAACATCTGAATCGTTAAGAAGTGAATCTTGTTTGACAAAAGAAAAGTCTGACTTTTAATGGTTCTAAAACCCTCTGAATGATTTTGTATCATAGATCTCTCTTAACCATTAAGAACCCTAATTTCATTGTACACAATTACCAAACAATTATATTTCATTTTGTACTATATCATGAGAAACTCTTAATTATTCTGACCACTTAATCATTCTGCACCACACCATTCAACAATTGTCAAACAGCTTCTAAGAGATGAATTCAATTTAAAAAAATGACTATTTTATTAATTTTTTCTAAAAATTTCTCTTATTATTTTTAAATTAAAATGGAAATGAAGCGCGTGATGTCACGGTGATAATGGTGTGAGTGGGGTGAAGAGAGCGCAGTTTATTTGACTCACGCATTCTGTTGGAACAGAGGGTAGGCCAGTCAAAAATAATGATCCGACGTCTACTATAAATATCTGACACGTGTCCATTTAACTATTTCTTTACATTTCTGTCACGAAGAATCGTCGACGATGATAGTGAGAATCTTCAATGAATAAATAAGTAAATTATAAATGATTTTAAATTTGAATTTGAGATTTTTATTAGGTTCGATAAACTGGTTAATAATTTAATTATTAATTATTTATTAAAATGTTAAGCGGTTGTTTAGTTCAATAAAAACTTGAGAATGAAAATGAAAATGAAAATAATAAGGAAAGTAAATAATAATAAATTACGTTTGGTTTGCAGAATATTTTTGTATAAAAATGGAATTTGTCAAAATAATTTTACTATGAAGGAATTGAAATGAGATTTTATCAGATTGATTACATGTTTGGAATGAAATCTGTTAAATGAATTAAAATATGTCTATTTGGTTTAAATAATGTAGCTTTAAAATTGAAATGAAATGTTGGTAAATGACCAAAATATCAGTTTTCTGGTGATTTTGAATTGATATTAATAATATGTATTAGAGTAAATTGATTTTATTACTTTTTTGCATACACAATACATATCGGCGCTCCCGAGGTCTTCTTCTTCTACGACAAACCCTCGTCGACCCTACCCCTTCGATCATCCTCCTCTGCCGCTTCCCACAACCACCGCCGCCGCTCCTCAATGCAAACAGAACCCCACCTTCCCTCCTCCTTTTTCTCCATCGACGACCCATCTCACCTCCTGCTATTGTTGATGAAAACCCCTTCTCCAACCATCCCCACCTCCATCTTCAGCTTCCCCATCACCTCCATCTCTGCCCCTTCCCCTCCTTTAAATCGTGATGGTTCAAATCTGATTCAGTGAAACCCTAAATCGAAGATCATCAGACATGACAAGGCCCAAGAATCTTACCTGGTAAGAGAGATGATAATGATATAGAGTCTTACCCGGTAAGTGAGGGTGACGACTCTTACCCGGGTAAGCGCTTACCATATATATTGTTACATACGATACCATTTTCATATATTACAATTTTACCCATAAAATAAAAGATAATGTTGACTCCTAATGGTAAACGCTTACTAGGTAAGCATTTAGGTAAACAGCCCCTTATTGAAATCAACCCAAATAAATAAAAGTAAAATAAGACATAACAGCTCGCATATAAAGTTAAAACATGTTTATATCATTCTCATTCATTGTCATTTTCATTTTATCCATATTTCATGCTCTTGCATGAACCAAACATGCTTATAAGAGAATGAGCTCATTATATTATATAAAATAAAATAATTTCTTTTATTATCAATCACGTTAATTACTGTTTAATACATCCAACCAAACAACCCTTTAATTATTAATTAATGAATTAATTGGTAGTTGGAAAACTATGTGATAAATTAATCATGATTGACAAAAATTGTTTAATTATTTCATTTAGACATGTAAAATAACGAAAAACAACATAGTAAAAGATTAGTTAAGGAAATGCGAGGAAGACAATACGGGATTTGGAGTTATCATGGAGCACACGTTAGTTTCGTTTAGAGAGAAAGAAACGGGGTTGCGTATGCAGTTGCAAGGCAATCACGATTCTACGGTTCGCCTATTTCGGTTATGGACTCTCCTAGTTGGCTTTGTTGATGATTCAAACTATTTTTGTAATTCTCTTCGTTATTAATAATGAAATTTCTTTTATTCAAAAAGATTTAGTCAGTATATAATATAATTAAAAATATAATATGTTAATTAATAGAAACTAGATGATAACGAAATATAATATATTAGTTAATATGAGTTAGTTTCACACGAAAACAGTAATCAAATAAGAGAATAAGAAAACCATGTGATTCATGTGACTTTGGTCGCGACATGAGATCGCGGGCACGTCACCTGCACATCTTTGCACTGACCGTTGGTGTAAAATAAAATTTGATTTTGCTGTTTACTTTCGTGTTCTCTTATTTGGTTATTGTTTTCGTTTGAACCTCTCTCTAGTTAACATATCTACAATTTGATTATATAGATAAGGTTTAAATACAAAACATCTCATCCATACAAATCATAGAAAACCATTCAGTTGAGATATTCATGGAAATGATGATTATGATTTGAATATTTATGAAAGATGATTAAAGTTTATAAATTGTGATCAATATTTCATATTAGAAAACAATCGAGATATTTATGAAATCACATACTCATTAGAGGATATTGACGACTGAAATTGATTTATACGGTTTGTATAAATGACATGGTTTGTATTTCAAAATCTCTCTCTCTCTCTCTCTCTCTCTCTATATATATATATATATATATATATATATATATATATATAT